CTTTCCAAAAGGGAACCTTTCCTTTTTTGCCCCCAAATTTTATTGGTCCCAAAAGTTGCCCTTACTGTAGGATTAAAATTTTGGGGGGGCGGGTTCGGTTTTTTTGGCCCCCCAAAAGGGCAAATATGGGGGTTTATAAAAAGGGTTCCCAAAAAAAAAAATTCTGAAAAGGATCCCCTTTTTTGGGGTTAAACCCCCCCCCCCCCCCCCCCCCCCCCCCTAATATGCCATGTAATCTTGAGAACAAATTAAAATCATTTCTTAGTACTACGAAGTTTTCAAACTTCAAATTTCATCTATTTTTTAATAGCTACTTGAAAATAAAAAATAAACTAAATAAATTAAACAAGGCAAAGAAAGCCAAATTTGACCCTTAACCACACCATAATATATATAATAGCAATTAAATGTGATTTGCAGAGATCCTCTGATGATCGACATGTTGGAAAAAGAACATTTTAGATATAGATGTTTTTATTTTAAATTAATTAAACTTTTATATATGGTCTCATAACTGTTAGTGCTTTGTCCCATTCCAAGATTATTCAAATTTTCAAAAAGACATATTTGAAAATTCCTTCCCCATTATTGCATGCCAATACTTTCATTTTTGTTTTACATTTTTTTATTTTTTGACATGCTAAGAATATTGCTGCCTTATAATAGTACAACTAGCCAAACAGGGCCTTAGCTAGTAGGTAACACCAAGCACAAAAGTTAAAAATATAATGTTACTTAGTTCAAAGGCTTAAAAGTTGATGATTAAATTGTTTTCTCTTTCACATGCAATAAAAGTGATTTCCCTTTTTCTCATCGATAAAATTAATTGAACTTGGTAATGGGATTTATTTTGTGCTACATGTCCAAACAAATGCTTTAGAGTTATATTCCAATTTATACTCCGATCCTCCAATTAAGGTCTAATTGCAAAACCATCCCACCACCTGCACGTAGGGAAGACAATGGGTCGGTTCTGGGGGCGGGCTTGTCTAAATCCGAGACTCGACCCGCAAAATATATATAAAATCCAGACTTGCCTCAACCCATTTTAACCTAGACCCAGATCTGCCCCTCCATATCCGAATTAAAGGGATTTTACCCGCTCGACCGTTAACATCAAACAAAAAGTTAATATTTTTTGAACATTCATAATATTTTACTTGTATTTATTTATTTACTTATTTTGACTAAATTCGAATCATTTATAAGGAGAAGTAAGTGAGGGGGACTCGAACACTAAATTTTAACAAAAGGTTCTCAATTAAAATTCACACGTAGAAAACCTCTACAAAAAGTCATATAAAGTGAATAATAAATGTATCTAATGAATTAAATTTTTAACTTCTACAATAGATAAAGATCAAAAGGCAAAGATAACTAGCGGTGGTCGATAAGTAATAAATATGTCTTACGAGAAACGAGATTCGAAAAAATAAAAAAGAGGAGTAGATGAGAATAGACACGATAAAAATTGAAACTTTGATAATTGAAATGCAAAATTAATTTATATATAAATATATATTCGTTATTAAATATAATATATTTATACGGGTTGGTTATGGATCGGTTTCAATAAAACTCGTAACCCGACCCAAAACCATCTAATTCTAGAAACTTAAACCCACTATTCGATCCAAAATCATTTAACATACCCAGATCCACGGGTCAGTTCCGAGTCTAAAACCTGACAAAGTCATACCCATTGCCATCCCTACGTCCAAGTGGTAAAGATTGGATGGATGATTGAACATATTCTTGATGGAACATAAAATACTACTATTTTCTTCTTCTTCTTCTTATCTCTTTATTCTCCTCCCAATTTAGTATTCTTTGCTATTTTCTTTTTCCTTATGTGTGTTTTTTAAATGCGTGTAGAATGTGTGGATTATTGGAATATCGACAAGGTAATGACAAGAGTGCAAATCTATCCATTCTCCACTTTGATCAGTTC